AAAAGAAAAAAGAAACAATGAAGAGTAAGCACTCGTAAAACATAGTAATAGGTAACTTACTAATGCATGTAGGGGTCGATTTTTGTTAATGACATGGATTAACAATGATTGGTGGTCGATTTTTTTTAAACTCCAAATACGAGAATGAGGACAATTGGATGAGAAAATCTGCTTATAAATATTCTGCCATGGTGCCCACCTTGATGGAATTTCTAGCCTATTGTTATTTAGTTGAGTCTTTTCTTTTAGAAGAGCATGTTTAGATCATTATCCTTTGCTAAATATGAGATCTGGTTCCTTGTAAAGCATGTTGTTAAGCCTTGAATTATTCTCTCTCTTGATGACATAAGGCATGAGGATAGGAAAATACTTGTCTAATGCAAATAAGGCAGCATACAAGAACATTGATCCAATTCAGCTATCTAATTGTCTGGTTACAACAACGAGATTGAAGAAATTTAAGGACGCATTAAACAGAATGATTCAAGGCTTGTGGAATAACATTAAAAAAAATTCAAGAATGCAACAAGGAAACATGTATCGAGCTTGGACTGAATAACATAAATCAAAACTTGGTCATATTAACTCAAGTAGAAGTTATATTAGCCCAATATGAAGTTGAACCAGTTTGCTTGGATGAGCCATAACTTGGGCTTCTGATGTCTAAATTAGGTGCTTCAAAAGCCTAAACTTATCTACACATTTAGGCCAATAACTTTCATGGAAAAATCTAATCAAATTTGGATTTTATCAGATGGATAATTGACTCACAATTTTAGAACGAATTCTGACTTAGATACATTAGATCTAGTTGTATTCATTTATTGTATCTAAACTTTTATTTTTCTTATTTAATAGAACTATTTACTTAGTAATATGAAGAGTTGTGACTCTTAAAAGTCTTAAAACTTATCTTGGAGGGTTATTCCATCTATAAATAGGTAGTATTCTCTTTTATAAACACAAGTTGATATATGAATTTACTTAATACAAGGTTTCTTAAGAGAGATTTTTCTCTTGTTCTGATTCTTGTTTGAATTAAGGTTCCTATGAGTAAAGGTAATTACTTTGTGAGTAGTTTATTATAAGGTTCTCTTTAAGGGTTGAATTTGGGTTGCAGATTTATTCCAAAATTCTCTTTCACGCATTGAATTGGATCAAGGACTTGGTAAATATGGTTTAGCTTTCCAAGGGCTTGCTTCTAAGCGTAAAGATATTGGGTCTCAGGTTTAATATACCCCCGGTTCATATCATTGTCACAGTAGGAGGGTATGACTATTGGATATAACGGTGACAATTTGCCAAGTTTTTTAACTGCTCTCATCTTTGTTGGTTTAAAGTAGCCCTAAACAGGGGCTTAAGTAGGGTCATCATGTATGTTAATTAAAATATATGTTTTGACTCGCTTTGATTTGGAAGGATTCTACTTATTATTTAGTTTTGTTTCAAGCATTTGGTATCGTTTCTATTCTCACATTAGGTAAAAAAGATAGATATTTTAAGACGTGTAGTTATTTTAGTATGTCAGTTTATCATACTTCATGGGCTAGTAGTTCATAGAATGCGCGAGATAAGTTATAAGCTTACTCATGAATTAAGACTAGAGGGAGAGAAAGCTCGAGATAAGCTTACGAAAAATTTATTCTTAAGTGAGTTTTGTTGGCATATAATTAGGATGAGAGCTTCAACTTTTATGAATTTATGTTATGTATTAGTTATAGATGGTGGACTTAGGCATATCATTCGTGTAATTATAGAGGAACAAGTACTTAATATATTTTACTTATTATGGCACAATGAGATAAATCTAGTCATATCTTGAGTTTTTCAACGATCCGGAGAGACGACAAGTTGCCATTTTCACAATGTGATACGATGTATAATACATATGGCTGTTAAATTTATTAGTCAACTAAATGGATCACAAGTGCCTCCGAAAATAGCCAACAATCCTATATTCTTTTCATTTTTTAAGGTATATATATAAGTTATATACATTTAATTAATTCTTTTAACATAAGTGTATGTTTAATTAATTAGTAAACAATTAATTTCAGGATTGTATTGGTGCAATTGATGGAACACGTATACGTGTTAAAGTATTTAGAAAAGATGTTCCACAGTTTCACAGGAGAAAAGATTTCCCCACTCAAAATCTATTGGTAGCTTGTACATTTGATTTGAAAATTTTATACGTCTTAGCTAGGTGGGAGGGGATCGCATCAGATTTAAGAATAACAAAAGATGTGTTAAACAGAGTTGATGATTATTTACTAATTCCCAAAAGTAATTAAAATAGATTTAACTTCAATATGTAATGTATACATTTGAAGAAAAATGTTATAATTTAATTTATTCATTGCTTATAAGTAAATTTTATCCTGTCGATACTGGGTTCATGTTGTGGGGTAGAATAATTACACTATATAGAGGAGAACGTTACCATTTGAGTGAATAGTCTAGGAATCCATCATGTAATGCTCGTGAGTTGTTTAATATACGACATGTTTTTTTGCGTAATGTGATTGAACGTGCATTTGAAGTTCTAAAGAAACATTTTCTAATTATCCAAAGCTCGGTTGAACCTTATTATCATATTAATATTGTTAATACCATTATATTTGTTGCATTTTGCATAATTATTTACGAGGAGAGGATCAAACTGATGGACTTCTTCTAGAGGTTGATGAAGAACCCCGAAATATTTCTCCAGACGAACAAAGTACATGTAACTTTAGGGACAGTACTGACAAAATGAGAAACGGTGAAACAATTAGAGATGTAATAGCAACTGATATGTGAGCTAATTACATTTTGTGTAGTTTATGATGTTTGTATGGTGTATGATATTTTTATGACTTATAACATTTGTATAACTTTAATATTTTAATTGAGTGCTATAATTTGAAATTTATTTTGTTGTAATCATATTATATTTTTTACATATGATTATATTTGGTGTTTTCATATGTGCTTTAAAAAATGCCTAGGAGAAATAGACATGTAGATGGAAGAAGTAAAACTATTCAGCGGACAGATTCTATGGATGATGTCCTAGTAGACTCATTTTACGAATAACATTTGTGTGGCCATAGATCGGGTGGGACATTCACATCACACACCATTAATTGTGTACTTAAAGGACTGAGGAATGCATTTCCAAATATGAACATTGAGAAAGAGCAGATACACAACTGCATAAAAAATTTAAAAAGACAATTATGAAAATGTTATGATGTTTTTAAATATGGAATGAGTGGTTTTACCTAAATCCAACAACTGAACGATTCGAAGCAGAAGAGGAAGTTTGGTTGCAACTAATAAAGGTAAATCTCTTACTTTATCATATGTTGTTTGATATATTTTATATTATTCAAATATTAATATAGTTATTTATCCTAAGGTCAGCCCGAAGCATTGGAACTGAAAAACCAACGCATGCGAAATTATGAAAAAATGTTGGAAATGTATGGAAGGAATAAACCTAGTGGGTCTACAAATGAGACAACCCTAAACCCTTAGAGACAAAGGAAGAGGAGTGGTGATGAACATGATTTGGATGCTACAAGTAAGATACCACTTACCCAAGATTTAAGTGGTAATTTTAATTTTCATGATCTAAATACTTTATGTGAGGCTCCAACGTCCGAAACTCCAACTTCGAAACCCGAACTTGAGGTGCAAGAGTCTTATATGCAAAAAAAAGTGAGATGTTTGACAATGATCTATGAAAAAGAATATTTGGTTGAAGTTCGAACTATTTCAAATTCAGTGAAGTAAATATTAACAATTTCAAAAGCGTCTGTTTTAATAGAAGAGCTATATTAAGAGGTTTATCGTATGTGATTAATGTCTCCTTCTAGAAATAAAAGCTTTTATGCTATTTATGGATAAACTAAACATGACTAAAGCTTTAATGATTTGTTATTTTGCTTGGTTTAGATTTTTTATTTTTTTTAATTTGCAGCATTAATTAAAAAATGGAGGTTGTTGTTGTCGAAAGGTAAGGCTATATTCTATTGGTTTTTAGGATCCTTTGTCAAACTATGTTGTATGTTTAATATATAAGTAGAAAAATAAATGAATCTTATTATTGTCTAATGGTAACGCTAATTTATTGTTTTGGGAATTTTTGATTAATTTATGTTAAATTTATAATTTTTTTATTTTTCTTTATTTGTTTCTTCACTATTATTATGCACTAATTTATTGTTTTGGATTGATTAATTTATGTTAAATTTATAATTCTTTTATTTTTCTTTATTTGTTTGTGCACAATATTTTTCACTATTTACATTTTTGAAGCGATTTTGGTTTAATGTAGTATTTATTTAATTCTCAAGTAATTTAATAATAGAATATAAATATGTTTTTATTATTGAATATGAATAGGAGATATATATATATATATATACATACTATATATTTTTGTTAAAAAAATAAATTTAAAAATTTGAAATTAATAAAAAAAATATAATTGCACACATGAAATTCCAATGATAATTAATTTTTTAAACAAAATTAATTAATAAATTAATTCATAATAAATAATTATTTTAAATACATTTTAATTTTTTATTTTTTGAAATAATTTTAAATTTAATATAATAATATATAATTACAATTATTTATTTTTAATATATAAATAATTTTATTTTTATTAAAATTAAATTAATATAATAATATATAATAATTATTTATTTTATTAAATATAAAAATTTAATTTAATTATATATAATAATTATTTATTTAAATATAAATTTAATTATATTTTTATATAATTTATTTATTTTATTACATATTTTTTTATATATTATTTATTATTATATATAATAAAAAATAAATAAATTAATAATTTAATTGAAAATATAATTATACATCTGATTATCTAAATAAAACAATTATTATTAATATACATTAATTTAAATATAAAAAAAATTTTATTATTTTTATTTTATATTATTATAACCTGATCACCTATACTTAAGGTTTAGAAATCATTTCCCAGAAGGTGAGAGTATCTGGTTTGTGCAAAACATGGCGACCACCGGCTTCTCGCTAAGCTTTTCTAACCACCCTACCACCCTCCATCTTCCCCGTCCCAAAGCAGAATCCACTTTCTTATTTTCACAGAGGGCGCCCTCCGACAATCATCTTCCTCACACCCTGCTTCGCTTCTCTGCCTCAGCGATTCTCTTCCTTGGCCTAACTCTTCGCGTCTCCTCTCCAGCTTCTGCTCACCTCCCCCCTCCTCCCGTTGCCGCCTCTCTTTGTCTAGTGGAGCAGCCAGGGACTCACGGTATCTTCATATTTGTTTCTATGTTGATTGCTAGGGAATGTAGCTAATCGTGGTGTTTTTTAAAAGTATTTATACATTTGTTCAAATTTCTTGTTTCAATTTCCTTTTACAAAAAAGGAACAACCTGAATTTCCCTTGTTTTCATGCAACATTTAATGTTTTGTGGAGACAGATGATCTCGGTGGTAGACAAAATGAAGAAATTGAAGAGTTTGGGGATGACAAGTTGAAAGCGGCATTTGAAAGTTATAAGTCTAAACAGTATGCTTTATCTGTGCCTTTAAGAGTTGTTGCTCTGCGTGGTTCAGTACCTCCTTCATGGGTTAAGGTCCGGCTACTCTCTACTCCTTTTCCTCATTGGGAGCGAATAAATAAAATGCCGTTCATTTCTTTTCTTTCTTCTAAAATTTACTATGGTGTTTATAAGGACAAGTAATCAGAATTTTTGTGATTGTCAGATGTTTTGGAATTTCTTGTTCGTTACACTATTTAGATTTATTTCTCAAATGCAGGATTTCATCAGAACACAAGGAAAGAGAGTAAAGTTCCACTCTAGGTTCCGTGGAAGTCTCCAAGAAATCTTTTCTGATCTATCAATATCCTTGAGAAAGGCAAATATCGGGCCTTCATCTGCTATGGCTGCTGATATTGTTACAATCGGTGATTCCTGGCTTCATTTTGCAATTAAGAAGGGAGTTATTGAGCCTATACATGGGGTGGAAGACCAGGACTGGTATAAGGACCTAAGTGAAAAATGGAAGGTAACACAATACTTCATTTTGCTGTCTGTAAACTGTACTTGGTGCTGTATAAGGAGGCTATTAATCAATTCAATCCGGACTTCATAGTTCATGCATTTTTGTAAATAGGGTACTATCAATTCCTCGACAGTGGTCTATTTTTCTGATTTCATGGAAGCTTCATGCTTTGTGTTGATGATATTTTTTTTCTATAGAAGGCTAAAACTTTAAAAAATAACATTGAATTGTATTAATTTTTATCTAAAACTGTTACTAATAAGTTCTTTTATAAGGTGTGTGATAAGAATCTGGCTAGGAATAGGAAATTCGATGTAACTAAGAATTTAATTAGGAATAGGAAATACTAAGAAAACTAGAAAACTAAAATAGATCTTAAACTTGAACTAGAAAAGACCAAACATAATAAAATAATAACAGTTAGAATTGAAATAGGAATAACACTTAGAATTAAACTTGGAAAAGTGTGCTACATCACTGTGGGAATGCATTGCATTGTCAAATCTTCTGTGTCGACTGGTCAGTATAGTCAAGGGGATTGGTGAAGGAAAGATCATGGCACCAAATATTTGGAAGTAGGATCTCAACCTTGGGGACAAGATTGATGTTCAGGGAGAGGGTATTGTTAGGAAACCACTTAAGAGTAAAAAGGGAAAATACTGTATGGGGGCAAAAGGGT